TATATATATATGTCTGTAATTGATCAATAAATAATAAAACAAATATACTTGTATCAGGTAAATAAATCATATGTATGTATTAAAATGGAGAAGTTGGTTAGATCTCTTTAACTACTGAGCCACATGATCCTTGTGGCTGTCATACAACACAGGGTAGCCACGCCCACCCTCAATGGCAGCCAATGACATTCACGGCAGGAAATGGGTAAGCCTGCAGCAGGTGTTTCTCCACCAGCTGTTCTCCCGTCTGACGTAGTGACGTCGCTGGCCAACCCATTCTACACATGACACCCGAAGAGATCGCGAGAAGAGGGAATCTCGCGATGACCAGCAGTCAGCGTGCGCCTCTTGTTAATGTGTAATATTTATTTCCTGGGTGTCGGTAATAAGGGCGGAATTGTTGGTCCTGACTTCGCTGTGTGACTATATGTCGGTATTGATCCCCGCTCATGAGTGAAGGGGAATCGCCGTTCGCCCTCGTGACGTCATCACGCTGCCCCTGGCGTAACGTGGAGGCAGAGTGCAGGGTAAGCCGGTGAAAGAGGTGAGGGGGATTGTGAGTGTGGGAGATAGAGGTGGTGTGAGGTTATGGAAGGGGGGTATTGTATGTTATTATACAGAGAGGGTGAGAGCAGCTTTCATTTGTGTCACTATAATGGGCACAGCTAGCCGGCCACTGACACTACACACACACACAGGTCCTCATGCTGTTGTCACTGTCACCCTGCTGGTCCTCAGGGAATCGCCCTGTTATGTTACACAAAGGGTGCAATGCATGCTTGACACATCAGGAGTGTCCATACAGCCATAAGGCTGTCCATGGTTATTGTACACATCAGGGTGTCATTATGTGAACCTGGATTGTTCATTAGGAGGACTCTGATCTTACATGAGGGCCCATGTAGATGTGAGCATGTGTGTAGAGGAATACTTGCTGTCTTGTTACACCGTTGTGTTGTATGTCCATGTGTATTGCCTTCGTGTTTTGACATGTGCTGACAATCATTTCCAATGCTACTTTTAAATAAGGGTTTGGAGTGGATATAGTCAACATCCATTGACCATGGCTTGTCGCCAATGCATCAAAATGCATGTTACATGTGTTTTGATGCATTGTCATTGACTTCTTTGGGCCCCCCAATGCACTAAACCACTGAAAAAATGGATATGTCATTTTTTTTTTTTAAAGCACACTTCAATGCAGTGCTGAGATAGTAACAGATACATATTTGTCATGGTTCCCTTTAACATAGTATTAGTGGAGCAGAATGGGAGTGTTAAAACACAACAGTGTAAATGGGCCATTAAAGAATAAGTGTATTTTCAGACAAAGTGCCCTTATTCTTTTTGCCCCATCCCTTGACCTAGCAGATCCCACCCTCCCTTTCCACAGATGCATACTTATTGAGATCCGGCACCCATGGCCTCCCACACTTTCAGACAAAGTACATGCATCATTTTTGTCCCCCTCCACAGATGCATACTTATTGAGATCAAGCACATGTGGCATGTTGTGTTTGTTTACATTCTGTGCTGAAGTCCTCTCATTGCTGGCCCAACCATAGAAGTCTATGGGGGTGCATCTTCCTGCACATCCCAGTCAGAAAACCGAGGTAGATGAGCCCTATAGAAGTCTGTGTTGCTCAACTGCAAAGGTGCAGCCATCAGAGAGAGGGCTTCAGCATGGAATGTAAACAAACACAGCATGCCGCGGCATTTAACTCCTTCCGGACCAATGATGGGATTATTCCGCCATGCAGTACAATGAGCGCTGGTCCATGAAGGGACCAGCAGCTCATTGAGTTACTGCTGTTGCTGGGTCCCTCGGGGTCCGAGGCAGACCTTCAACAGCAGATTAGGTGTTCACAGCACTATGATCACAGCAATAACTGATCGCTGTGATCACACAGCCGTGACAGCCACAGAGCCAGCAGCAGCTCAGTGTTTTGTGCAGCTGCGAGCCGGCTGCGTGTTACAAACTGAAAAAGTATCTCTGAGGAGAATACTGTATTTTACTTAGAGATACTAAGGGGTCTATTCAGAAAAGGGTGAAGAGTTTGGAGAAGGCAGGAGAAGTGAACAATCTAGGCCAAAATAGCTGATTTGGAAAAATCCTCTAATTCAGCTCACTTTCCAGTTCAGCTATGTTGTCCTAGATTGTTCACATCCCCTGCCTTCTCCAAACTCTTCACCCTTTTGTGAATAGACCCCTAACTATCAAAGCCCCTGTACATAAAAAAAATAACCCCTAGTTTAAAAAAAACGTTTTTAAAAATACGTCTAATAAAACAATTATAAGAAAATATAGCACCAAAGAGACTATTAAAGAAAAGCATACCGCATCCTAAAATTGTTCCACAATTGTATTTTGTGACCTATAACTCCCAAAATAAACTGAAATCCCATGATGCATTGCAAGATTCTGACAGTCACGGGCATGTCTCCCGGAGACAGAGGCATAACGGGATTTGTAGTTATATCACAGCTGGAGTGCCGAGGTTGCCTACCCCTGATGTAAGCTGTCATTGCCAATCTCTCCTTCCCAAAAGGCTAAGTTTTTGGCTGTTAGTACTTTCTGATTCACTGACCCAGAACCAGCATGCAGCAAGTGAAGTCAGAACTCTAAAGCTGCATACTTGGGTCAGATAATATTAAAGGCACAGCCAGGAGAAGATGTCAGATGTAGCAACCTCCATATTCTTCTTATGACAGGTTTCCTTTTAAAAGTGATATTTTTCAATATGTTAGGTATAGCCATAGCAGGAGCTATCAGTATTGATGCAGTGGAAGGAGAACATGGTTAGTTTGTTGCATGTGAGTTTTTTTACATCCTGTAATGTGTGTACGTTAACGCAACCCATGCATTTTGAAAAGCCCTCCGACACACTTGCGTAAAAAAAATCGTACTATTGGCAGCGCAATGTGGAGAACATTTGAATTTGTGTACTGTGGTGTGCTGTAGTGTATGTGTTTTTTTTTTTTTTTAACTGACTGTTTTTTTCTGTGTGTTTTACTTTATGTATGCATTGTACAATGAAGAATGAACAGCAACGCACATATACAGCGCTTGTATGCTTTGCGGGTTATAATGTGTGTTCTCACATATGCTATGGTGTAAACAAGGGTTTGGGAGACTTATGAAAAGATAAAACCTACAGTATATAACTTTCTATAGTGTCCAAGGTCCTGTTTTATTCCACAGCTTGAAAGGGATATTTACAAGAATTGTCTAAGGAAGAACTTCCAGTAATGCCAAATTCTCCCTTTTGTTGAACACCTAGACAAAGAGAGTCTAAAAATCAGATGACACTTCACTTTGACACATCTTCATACATTAGATCCAGCATAGCTTATGGGGAGAAATATGTTGTCACACATGTCGTCCTTTTTTTTTTCTATTAAGACCCTGCTGATATGTTTCTTCTAAATTTGTTGTTTTGTCTTCGTACAAAATGTCATATGGGTATGTCCTAAAACTGAGCATAGATTAATTTTCCCTTTCATGCGTTCTACTAGTGATTAGTGCCATGGTAATGAAGGCTTCCATGGAAGATGATGATTCAGGATGGGAACTTTCCATGCAGGACAAGATGGGAAAGAGCAATGCCAACTGGATAGACATCACTCAGGAATTCAGAGATGCGTGTAGCGGTAATTGTAGTCCTATATCTATATATACTGCAAAAAATGTGTTGACTAAAACCAGTAACGCTGTGACATGTATATGGTTTCCAGTCTGTACATATCACTGTGTTTCTGGCCATTACCTACACACTGCTCACTTCATGTGACACAATGACAGCAGCTTCTGAAACACAGCGAGGGCAATTTATCAAAACTGGAGCTGATGTGCCCAGCAACTCTCTCTTGCAGCCTCTCTCTTTCATTTTCAAATCTTAACTGAAGAGAGAAGCTGATTGGTTGCCGTGCACATCTGCTCCAGTTTTGATAAATTCCCCCCCAGCGTGTTACTGGCTATTAAAAAAAGAAAAAGTGATAGCTAAAAAAAACCCTACACATTATGCTGCCAGAGCGACTATCCCACCTATTGTGCAGGTCTGAGGTGTCACTTTGACAGCCATCCTGCAGCGAGCCTCTGTCTGCTAACCAACAGGATAAGCTCAGTGAATGGCACTTTACTACTCTTCTTTATACACAGAAACTGCAAGTCATTAGCACTGACTATTTCCTGGTCCTTGGCTTCAGTGTTCCACTGTCCACAATGTAATTCTGGAATGCTGATTTATGTCTCTGGTTTGTATTTGCTGGATACAGAGGAGGCACCAGGGCTCTAACAGACCTCTGATGTTTTCCTAAAGAGTACCCATTGCCAAAAAAAAAAGGTAATTCAACAGACCCCTGTTCCAATCACCTACTGTCTGCAGTGTTGTGGGGAGAACATTTTGTGGGACACCATGGGCTCTACACTGCGGCCTGCATTTTATGAGTAATTGGTAAAATGCAAGTGTAGGGTGGAGAAAAGACTGCAGTGTCCAAGGGAAAGCAGTTTTCACTCTCTGTTATGAATGGGCTTTATCCTCTAATGCCTGCACAATTTTATAAGCTGACATTGTCATTATTGCCAGAATTCCTAACATGATGTTGTTAAGGTTTTTTCTTTTCTTTATATGAATATTATATAAATACAGTGGAGATCTAATGATATGGGAGGATGTGCACAAAGTATACTGAAAAAGATCTTCCTTTCATTTACAGAACTGAAGCTGGGAGAACTCCTTCATGATAAACTGTAAGTATGACCACCATAGTCTTTTAAATGGTAATGTGAAGAATGCAGTTTCATCTCTGATTGAAGCCAAATATTTTTTTTTTCAGTGACAATAGCATAGGGAGGGTTAAAAATATACTATTCTAATATGAGATAAATTCCCTCTTAGACAGTTGTCAGAGGAACAAGTGTCCATGTTATAAGATTCCCCTTCTATTGCTGTTCTCGTGGCCTTGGTCATCAGGACAATAAGAGCGGGAGAGTGAATCTCCCTATAAGGTATTGTACACAGTACACAGCAATAAAAACCTCACAGTGGTTCTAACCTCACACTATTATATTCAAATCTGATTGCCCTTTAGTTTGTAATCCTTCCAAAATCAGGAAAGGTGAAACATGGTTGTTGTATGTCATTGCACTTTACACATTCTTATTGCACGTGTGAATGTTTAACGTTAAAGCGGAAGTAAAGTGATTACAAAAAACAAAAACTCGTGCTTTTATCCGTCATTTGTTAGTATGCACTGCATATGAGCACATTGTGACAGACTTACCTGCCAAAGTGATCCCCTCTAGTGCTGCACTGTGCCCTCACTGGTGCTTCCATCTTCATCCCAGTCTTCTTCCAGGTTTTTCGAATCTTCGGCCACTTGATTGGCCGGGCCAGCTAAGTGGCCGAAGGCAATCGGGTCTTTGCTGCCATAGAAAACCTACCAATCGGCAATTTCTTTCTTTTTCCTTTACTTCCATTTTAAAGTGACCCTTTACTCTGTATATGCACGGTAAACTAGGAGGGTCATCCACATCTCCCTACTCTTCCCCAGCAGAATATTAAAACGTTTCCTTGTTTTCTCCACCACCTTGTTTATTCGCCATGAGCAAAGTTTATGCCCTTTGATTGGCACATGGAGCAGGGAAGATGGCCATAGCCTTTGTGTAAGCTCCAACATGTCCGTTTGGAACTCACACAAGGCTCTCTTTCCCAATCCCAGTGGTCCGAATGGATGGAGTGAAAGCAAGAAAAGGGAAATATAGTGGAGAAGTAACCCTCTTACTTTGCCCTGCATGGTCAAAGGAAAGGGTCACTTTAAAATGTCCTCTTTATTTTAAAGGGTTATTATACCCTTGCATGTGTTTGCATATATGTGCTGCACCCAAGCAGTAGATATATGCAAAACGATTAGGAAAAAAAAATGAAAACTTTTTCAAAAGGTTAATACTTACTTGTGACTCCACCGCGCGCGCTCCCGTCTGAACATCTGAAAATATCTCGGCCGGCCGCAAAGGATCTTGGGGTGGGTGCATGCGCACTTCAGATGTTCGGCCGGGAAACGAGGAGAGACACATATATGGCGCAGCGTGCACTCGCACAGACTCCGGACAGACTTTGTACTGACTCCATGGGACATGAGATAAGAGGAGGACAGAGGAGTCAGAGCTGGATCGGAGACCCGCACCAGCGCTGGAGGTACATCTGAAAACTACACTATAGAAGAAGATGATCGGATTAAGAGGCATGATTTAAGGTAAGTCCTTACACTACCATTGGGGGGAGGGAAAAAAATTAGCCTTTAATGTCACTTTAAGGTCTTGTTTACACCAATTCTGCTAAGCATGCCACCGCACATGGAGCAGTAGTTTTCTATGTGCCTTTTTCACAACATACATGTGCAGCTCAATGGATATGGTGTGAACAAGCAGAACAGTGTTCCTATTTGGAGCAACCCTGTTCTTTGCCATATATGGATAAAACACCGGTTTGCTTTAACCCCTTCGTGACGGGAGACGTACAGTGTACG